TTGTTTGCCTGTTCTGTTTGTTCATGAAATGCCAATCGTACCACCACTATTAAACATTTTGTTGCATTTGTCGTGTTAAATATTTGTTGTAAAGTTTAAATTAACCATAGAAAAGCAACTCAAGTGTTATTTACATGCTTACTGGAAGGCGTTTGAAAATAGCATTATTAAAATACGAAACACAATTGTTACAATTTTAACTGCTGAAATGCAGGTCTAATGTAAACTAAATATAAATGCTACAAATATATAAAACATCAAGACTATTATGGCATAGTCCAATGGTCTATTGGCTGTGATAACATTCAACATTGCATTTTTAGGCTACGAATGAATGGTTATGGAAGGAGGTAAAATGTGACTTTTGAAAGTTGTGTGAATGTTAATTCATTTAACACAATAATTATATCAGTATTATCTGTAATAAAATTGAGGATTGAAGTTAATGTAACTCACCTAAGGTTCAGTTCAGAAATGTGTTGCTCTCAAATTTACATCATTAGTCAAGTTTTCAACACTTCCATCGATGCTGCAGATTTTGGTGTGAATATTCTTAGCAACTCTCAACATACGTACACAAACATGAAATAATAAAAGTGTATTAGGGTTTACTCAAATTGAGAAAATGTTTCATTTCATATTTCTATAAATATATATATCTTCGTTTCTGTCAGTTTTAAGCTAATGCATATTAATTGTATCCTTATTGACCACATCTTCTTTAGATCTTTAGATGGTAATTTGTAAAGGTAGCTAATTCCTTAACTGGCCGCCAGAGATATACCACCCCAATGCCATCTGGTGGTAAACCCCTGAACTATTGCAGGCCCAATGTAAACAAAGCAATATTTTGCATTGCGAGGGTTCTGTTTTATACAGGTTATTCAATTTAATCAAACTTCTGCTATCGTTTATATAAATTTTAAAAGCTACTTAACTTTTTACTATTATATTTATTAATCTCATAGGAAGTTTTTTTTACTAAAATACATAAAATGTAAATAATTGCATTTGCCTCTCGCAGGGATGTAAGTGAATTAATACATCCATATGAGAGTAATTGTTTATGTTTTTTTGTCCTAGTCCATCTATTTGGTGTGTATCCCAATCTTTGCCAAGCTGTGACTCGACTCGCCCGGGTCGAGGAGCGGCTTAAAAATAATAATGAGAAAATAACATAATATACCGTACGTGTATACTGTCTCCTCCAGTCTCTAGTCCAATCCCACTCCTGCGTTAAATCTGAGACATATCATCTTTTATTTTAATTTCTGACGTTTATTTTTTAGCATTTAAATTTAAATTTAGCAATCTTTTTCAAAAATATTTCCTTTAGAAGTCACAGTTTACATTTATAAAGCATAATTTCCCCAACTCGTAACATATTACAACTGAAGGTAATATGAAAGATTCGGAAGTAAACATATCACACACATTAGTCGACCTCTTATGTCTCAATGAGATATCCTTTGACAATAACATGAACTACAACAATTATTTGTATAATGCAAACGTTTAACCGGAAATTTTCTCTCAATAAAACAAATAGATATTTAACATGAAATCTGATGACAATACGACGTGGTAAAGTAATCCAAATTTCAAAATCCAGAGAGATTTGAATTTACAAATTGGATAACAAAATATTTGATTTAATTTAATCAACATATTCATAATGGAGGGACTTAAGTATCCAATATCTAGGAATAACTCATCGTCTAATATATCTATCCTTGTTTTGTTTTCTTGATACTGTAGATGTTTGGATCTAGTGTAGGATGATGCCCAACACATATACGACCTTATTGATATTACTAATCAAATAGATTACGTTATTATTACGCATCAAATTTACCAAATTTATTTCTTTGTCGTCCAACTTCAAAGTCTCAAAGTATTGCTTCCTAACGTTTTACTTCCTTCTGTAAATTGTTGTGTGCTAAGTTTGTATTGAAAACTACAAAACTGAATACATTTCGAGCGATTTGTATTGCTTTAGATTTAGTCCTAATAACACTAATTGAACAATTACATTCTATTTATATGTAGGCTATTGCTCTTATATTAACACACCATAGACGTGTACTTACTGAACCAAATAGTACAACGTAGCCGTTTATATCCACACATTTGACGTGACGTGACAATCTCTTACTCTTGAACATTGCTAGGTCACAACTCATGTCTTCCGGGTTGAACAATCTTCTTAGGAGATGACAGATCCACATGTTTATACAAAGAAGTTACTTATATAGGTATATTTTTATTAAACTATGTTTCCTTGAAATTACTGCGTGCATTGATTGAATTCATATAAATGCAGTTTTCAATATCCATGGTAACGAAAATAAATCGGTTGTATGAAAAACTATGGCAAAAGCGATAAACAAAGATACAACAATGATTCGAGGACACATTTAAGTTGATGAGTTAGTAATTCAGTATTTTTTGCAACCGTATTAAGAGAAAGCCTGTCAAAATTTCAATTGTGATATAATGACACGTTTTCCATGGTAAAATAATTAATTTAGCGTTCAACTAAAGCAAATTAGTTAAGTAAACATTCTGTGCACCATCCCACTAGCTATAGTGATGTCATGTCATATTTAAATACAAACTAGTTTTGTTTCCATTATGGTAGTGTTTTATCCACGGTGGATTTAATGAATAATGATATTTCAACTGCGTCCTAGTCGCGTTTAGAAGCACTGGTGAATATCGAACAGGCATTAATTGCGCCAACTACTCCAGGGAGCCACCCGATACTTTATTAACTGCTCTAAGTGGCAGCTCTCATAGACTGTATAATTATAAGTAGGTTCGGTTTGGTTAGGTTGGATTAGGATAGGTTACGTTAGGTTAGTTTAGGTTAGGATAGGATAAGATATGTTAGGATGAGTTTTGTTTTCTTGGCGTAACTCATTAAAAAGTTAATTGGTGATGTCCATACTTTTGCCCAGCCCTGTATATGTGAATAAACATAAATATACAGGGTGTTGAAAATGTCTGGAACCAACATTATATCTGGTGAGTGGTTAAAGAAAAACAACTGATATTTTGTGTACGGATATACTATGGTTTTACCTATCTTTTGGTGCCTTATGACATTTTTTACCACTTATAGGGAACGTCCTGTGGAGGATGCAGTAAAAAGTTTTAATGGAAGCCTATGGTAAATTATACATCATTTTAAAGGCCATTTATTTCTGAGTAAGGAGCCGCAAGTTTCATCTCAAAAGGACCACCCTAGCGAAAATGGCGACTGTTTGAAATTTAAAAAACCCACTTATAGGGAACGTCCTGTGGAGGATGCGGTAAAAGGTTTTAATGGAAGCCTATGGTAAATGATACATCATTTTAAAGGCCATTTTGTTCTGAGTAAGGAGCCACAAGTTTCATCTCAAAAGGTCCACCCCAGCGAAAATGGCGACTGTTTAAAATTTAAAAACATTGCTATTTAAATGGTCCGTATTTGTTTCCTTTAAATGCTATTACAAGCCAGTTACGAAGTACAGTAGTTTATCACGTGGTAAACTGAAAAATGACTGAAAAAAAACATTTAACTAAATTGTTTGTGTTGTTTTACTAAACTTATTTTTAACAGAAATATCAATTAAGCTTTCAATTATTTTCAAAAACTTCAAACAGTCACCATTTTCGCTAGGGAGGACCTTTTGAGATGAAACTTGCGGCTCCTTACTCAGAAAAAAATGGCCTTTAAAATGATGTATCATTTACCATAGGCTTTCATTAAAACTTTTTACTGCATCCTCCACAGGACGTTCCCTATAAGTGGGTTTTTAAATTTCAAACAGTCGCCATTTTTGCTAGGGTGGTCCTTTTGAGATGAAACTTGCGGCTCCTTACTCAGAAAAAAATAGCCTTTAAAATGATGTATCATTTACCATAGGCTTCCATTAAAAATTTTTACTGCATCCTCCACAGGACTTTCCCTATAAGTGGTAAAAAATTTCATAAGGCACCAAAAGATAGGTAAAACCATAGTATATCCGTACACAAAATATCAGTTGTTTTTCTTTAACCACTCACCATATATAATGTTGGTTCCAGACATTTTCAACACCCTGTATAATTGAGGTATATTACTAAATAAATATTCAAAAACATACAACGGGTCTCATTTCATTCTGATTAAACATGATAAAATGGGAAGCACATGCGTGCGTAACATCCGTGACAATTTTCTGTGATCACAGAAACGACCGAGATTACTTGCTATCACGGAAACGCCTAAAAATGGAGAATAGTCGTAAGAAAAGTACTGATGGGAAAGTACTTGCTTCTATGTAGTATGGTGTAAAAGCCATTTCACAGTAGTGTAGCAAAAAAGTAATGTTTTTGTTTAGGCCTAAATGGGTGCAAAATTGATAGCAACACACTTCAAGAAACAAAGTAGGTCCAAGGTACCGTCTCTTAATTGATTATTTTTTGTTTCTACAAACTGTTGTCGAAGAAGCGTGGCTTTCTTTCTTGTACTTTTTTTCATTTTCCAAAGCACCGTTGATTGCTAATCATGTGTCTAATTGTGATTCCTCAATGGCACTGAGAAACGCAAAAATATTCGGATAAGGTAAAGAGCAAGATTTGTTAAATTAGCGACAAGGGGTGTTGAACTAGGTCAAATAACGAAAGCTGTGATGATTGTTTACATTCGCAATACCAATGATGCGTTAAGGGTGTGTGGTTTGTTTACATTCCAAATTCCAATGGGTAGGTTCACCAGAAGGCGCCCCCTCGCCTACCTGGACTAGTGCTGGCGCAGTAAGGGCGTTTGCTAAAGAGGGATTATTTAGACCTGGCGCAGTACTGGTCTAGGTATATTCCTAATCTATGATGTCAAGATATCGAAAGGTGGTCGGGTTTGGTGGGCCTACGTCAACATCCTTGCAATAGCTCATCTTCAAAATCAACTCTACAATAATTGTAGTATTGCAGACATCAATCACTTATGTCTAATATCCTGAATAATTGTTTTCCAGACTTGGCCGTTCAGTTTTCAGCAGCCTGGAACTCCAAGTAATCCTCCCCTTCGGCCACCCTGGGAGCTGTCGCCTCCGCCCTCACGGCCCAGAGGGGAGGAGCCCCTGGACTACCCCGTCACATACCCTCAAGGATATTCCGACCCTCTTGCGCAGATGGGGTAGACATGTTGTTTGTGTATATACGGAAAGTGCAATACTTAGTTTCATTGTTACCGGTACTGTGTAGCGTAAAAGAAGCTAATTAGAATTATTTTTTCCTACAGTTACCTAACAATGTACATGTTCTCTCACTGATTTGAGAAAGCAAAGTGGCCAATTCGCTCATCAGTGAGACAATGTAACATTGTCTCACTCTAATTACTTTGTCTCACTCCAGATTTGCAACGTGAAGGCACGAAATAGTGAGCGCGTAATATGCAGGCATCGTCGTATGCGCGCGAAATACGTTGGCAGCACTGGCTGTAAATCAGCTGGTCAGCTGTTGTACTGTTGTATTTGTCACTTCACATTAAATGTTATATAACAAGTTCACTTCTGTGTAAAAATAGGTTATGTTTCTTCACCAATTTATTTGTTTTATGGTAACTGTAGGAAAAGTATAATGTGCAACTCGAGTTCAAAGTACAATTGCCTCACTCGAGAAACCATTCCTCACTCGCCTACGGCTCGTGAGTAAGGATATCTCTCGAGTGAGTCAATTGCTCACTTTTCTCACTAGTTGCACAAATAACTATTCTTTCAGTTAATTTGATTTAAATTGTGTACCTATATAAGACAAAACCCGGTAATTTTCATTTTAATTCCTGAACCGGCTAAACATACACCCTACAACTTAATCGTAGGAATGGGATGTATAATAGTCTACCAATTTAAAGGTTTCATTGGTAACAGTGTTCAATGCGTAGAAAACGTGAACAATGTAAATTAAAATACAGTGTTTTTTAACAACCTCTAAATAGTTTCCGATGGAAACTTTTTTAACGACAAAAAATGTTCATATGGTATAATTGTTTTCTTTACTTCATTGCCTATCAGCTGAAATGCATCGTTAAAGTTATCTGTAAGTTTGGTGTTATTGATCATTCATCATGTAAATAAGTGATAATAATGTTGTTTCACATGCTCATACAGACTCCCAATAACACTAAAACCCATGGATAACAATGCAACAATGCATATCAGCTGATTGGCAATGACATCAAGACAGTGATACCAAAATGTGAGCATGTTTTGTCGTTACAAGCTCACATTTTGGTATCACTGTCTTTATGTCATTGCCAATCAGCTGATATGTATTGTTGCATTGTTCAAGTATCGTATGGTATTTGTAATTTGGGTTGTGTTAAAAACACTCTGTAGTAAATGTATTAGAAACGCCGATGCTGTAAATAATTTCGTTCAATTGTAAATCTTTTGGGTGCTTCCGGTTTTAAAAACTAAGGCCTGATTTAATGAGTGCTTCATGACTGGCTACGTTTAAGTAAGTCGGTGTTGCCTAAATTCATTTAGTTTAATTTTAGGGTCAATTTGACCATGTCCTTTCTTTCTATTTGTAATATCAGAGGACAAACAGTTAATTTTACTTTTTCAATAGTCTCAATATTTGTCAAATACGAAATTAATGGTACAAATCATCACAAACTTAATGTATACCGAACGAAACCCACAGCTTTAAATTGTCATTAGCTAATCCACAATGTTAATAAACCTACAAGGAAGTATTTGTAATCTGTGGATGTGTTGAGGCTGCTCTTTATAGGCTGACGAATGAAGCTAGCATTTCAAGATTATTTGATTAGTAATGTCTCACACGTTCCTTGATCAATCTTTGTTATTATAACCATCAATGGGACAATTGAGTCGTATGAAAAATGAGTTAAAGACTGCCTTTCGTATGTAGCCACTAACACTAACTTGTACAAATAATTTATATTTTATCCTAGTTGGATGAGGACTGTATTTATAATTATAACGGCAATTCTGTGAACGATATTAACAATGTAAAATAGTATAGGCTTATACCTACTGTATGTTGTTAATTTAGTTATGTTTACCTACGACAGTTTTTTTTTAAGTAACCGTTTCAGTTCAGTTCTTACAATTGAGAAGTATCTCATAACAACATTGTATACTTTCGTAACAGCATAGTTTTACTCATAACAACACGGGTAACGCAACAACGAGGTTCAAGGATTGAGAGAGAAGTATAATTGTAATGATTTGAACTTCAACTAATCAGCTGTTCAGGCAAATTTAATTGTTGAGAGGTGCAATTAGTGTTTGATACAATGTTTCGTTGGATCACTGTCAGTGGCAATGAGATGTTATAAAGGAAAACATAACCTCTCTTAAGAAGTTATGAGTAGTGATCTTTAGTAATTAAAAGACTGTCGTAGGTGATCGTGTACTAATTCCATACTAGTTTTCTGGTAAAATCTTGTTCAGCTTGTTATAGTCCATCACCAATTTTGTTGTACAGAAAGTATAAAAAGATGTACTTGATTTAATATATTTATCTATAAAATATTACCATACGTATCCTGAGATTTCTTTATTTTTCCCTTTGCTTTTAGATCTTAGTAACATTAATTTTTTTCAATGTTCTAAAATAATCGAAGAATGTGAAATTTTAAAGACACGTTATAATTAAATGAGTTAGCATATTTTTGATCATTTAAGGTGTCTTTAGGAACTTAAACATATGGCCGCCATTTTAAATTTGATATTAAATTGATATTAAATTTGATATTCAACTTGCAAAAACTATAGTCCATTGGTTGATCAATATAAAATCAAAATCCCAATGTATTTGGATTTAAAATTTCTTTAAATTTGATACGGTGTATAATAAGTTTTATTTATTTTATTTTGTGTTTTTTTACACCGTTGTCATTTTTGATGGGAAATGTTGTTTGAGATACTCGTTTTATGGAATTTGACTTTGCAAGTTTGCAAATGTCGCCATTTTGTAGTTTATATTGGACAATGTTGATTTGTTTAAAAGATAGAACTTCTATACATACAGAGTTTCACGAAGATCTGTAAAAAAATTTAATTAGGTACACAAATATTTATCAAAAATATATATTAGATAAGTATATAACAATGAGTTTTTGGGAAAATATCATACTCGGTTTTATCATTATTTGGCCCAAAACTACTTCCAGGGGTTTGGAATTTTACTTATACCCTGTAAAAAAACTCTATAAACCAAAACGACCTAGGTACTGATTGTTGGGGTAACTTACTATTCGCACCGCATTTTAATGGGGAGGGGGTCCTACCCACACATGTTGACCGGAAATGAAAATGCACTTGTCAAAATAGGAAGATCTGCCAAAACAGGGTTTCAAAAACAAACATGACCTGGCCCTGATGGGTGGGATCTTGTATCCGTCTTCCACTTAGGGCAGACACTTCTCCATCAAATTCCATTCAGAAATGTGCAAAAAAAAGATAAAAAAAAGTAGAGACGGGGTCGTAAAATGACCTATATTCGTCACAATATCATTTTACAATACATTCAAGCTTATTGCCCGAGGTTTTTAATTGAACGAGGGCGAATACAATACTTTTCGCCTGTGAGACAAAATTTGTCGTTTCACTACTCCACTAAAACAATTATGTCAAACATTGTTTTTATTGTTTACCTTTATGAATTAGCTTCAAAAATTATTATGTTCACCTTGTTTCACTTTCGTGTGAACAAATGTTACTGTGGATGTCAGTGATGTTACCGTTATCAAGAAGAAACACCCCGCCAACACAAAAATAAATTCAAATTTGTCTAAATGTCGGCAAAGGGTCAATGCCAATGTTTGTGTAGCAAAACATAAAACATACAAAATAAAAAAAAATACCCCCGCCGCAGCAAACCTGCCGACTAAGCGAATTTCCATTTGTCTGAATTGATTTTCAGTTAAATATATTTTAATAACATTAGGTTTAACGAGTAGGCCTACCTAGGTTTGCTGCTACAAGGAAACTAATAAAGTGTGTTTTTGAGTAAAATATTGATAGCTTAGTACAAAATAAATAAATTTGCCAAGTTTGATCAAAATATATTCATAAACAAGCAAACTACAACATTTGACAATTTTCTCCATAAGAATAACATGGGAATTTTAAATTTACAATTTTTTTAATTTTCTCCGTTACTAATATTCGAACAAAAATACTTTTATATACTAAATTATTTGTTTTTTTAAGCTCTTTAAAAAGGTCTAAAGAGAAATTGGGAAATTTTGTGTTTTGAGGGTCAAAAGTGAGAAAAACCAATTTTTACCCCATAAAACCCCCCGTAAAGCCCCGTTCCCATGGTCCGATCGTGCTGGTTCGCGAACTCATTCAAGTTTATCCCGCTTTACACCTTTAAACCGAATTTCATCAAAATCGGACAAAAATTACTCAAGTTATCGCGTTCACGGACGTATATATATATAAGTCTATATATATATATATATACATATATAAAAATTTGAACGAATAGTGTTTTTGGCCTCTGGGGACATCAAAATGAAAAAGTAAATCGGTCCCGGGTCTAGGTCTTACCGTGCCACCTACGGTAATAGCTACTTCCCTATAGGGAAATTCGCTAAAACACGATGATTGACACAAAACGTTGATAATGAACGTTGCAACCACATTTTATCATTTAGGTTAGGACTTTTCTTCCGTGCTATTAGGCAGCAGCCCTGAGCTATAACTATATTTGGAGTCACCACTGTGTTTTAAAAGCGTACCTACCACTGTTTTTTACAGTTTTTCATATCGTTATGTTGACCATGGAAAAGGCGATTTGAGGGGAAGATCTCATACTACAGTACCTTTTATTGCTTAATTATAAGTAGCAGCTGACTGTTCCGACAAACCTCAGGGGTTGTTTTAGAGGCAGGGTCATGTGAAGGGATTTTTCCCTCTAAAACCAAATAAATTTAGTGAACATAGTGTTAGTGGGAATTGAATTGATTGTGAATCAAAATGGTCTTTAAAACCAAGCAGCCCAAGATCAAATTGACGATGGAAATTATCCATTTCATTCTAGCACCGAAAAAAGCATTTTCCGTTTAAGTTCCATCAACATCACATTTCAGTCGAGGAGTCGAGGTGAATCCAAGCATTTGAGAGTTATTTTCATAAACAAGAAACCGAGAACGGTTATTACTGCTGGCAAAAGTGCTGGGAAGTCAATTTTGGTACAAGTTGCGAGTACTTTTCATCAAGACGCAACGATTCTTACACAGATCTCAGTAAAACTAAAAATATGTTTCCCCCAATTAACATGTTTAAAGGCAATGTTCATTGCGCAGAAAACACACAATGACAAAACTAACAACCCAGCCATGGGCGCGGGCTAACAACCATGCCATGGGCGTGATCGTCCATCAATATAGGCTAGGGATGGCAAGAGCCTACCACCATAAGACCCCACTTTAACTTCAATTTTTCAGATTGTACGGTAAAAACAAAAATGTTTTATACCAGGAGAAAACCAAGAGGCAGACGACCCTTGGAAAACCAAAGCTGAGATGGTTGGACAAAGTGGAAAAGAAGACATGGTAGTAAAACACTCCCCTCAATAAATTTCAGTTGTCTATAACTTTGGCTACTACTACTGTATTCTTAATGAATGTGTAAATAAAGTTTAATTGTCTATAACTCAATAGGATAAAGTAAGAGTATAAGTATAGGCTACATGATGTTATGCACTCAAAATGATTTACATAAACAATTGCTCTACCATGAGAAATGGCTTAACATGGTGGAAACAGAGTATTCACTTCAGTTTTTTTGGATTGGTTGCATGTCATTTTCTTGCCCGGGGGGGGGGGGGGGGGGGGTCAGTAAAAGGGCACAAAGCTAAATTTTCATCTTCTATCCAGCAAGGTAATTTCTAGTAACCCCTGCAGCACTGTCTCTTCAAGCTCCTGTTGCTTGGAGCCTTTACTTGAGGTCAGTCCTGGTAGCTCAGCTATTCAATAGTTTACTACTTCAGAGCACTCATTGTACTTTTTTGTGGAATGATTATTATTAATTTCTGTGATCCCAGTAAAATGAATTACTTAATACAACAAATACAGTATTATCCTTGTTTGTTGGGTAATCAATTTAAACCATAGGCCCTATTGTATGTACTGTAACTATA